ATTACATACCCGGTTCAGGGCCATGGGCTACATTACATTCCCGGTTCGGGGCCATGGGCTACATTACATACCCGGTTCAGGGCCATGGGCTACATTACATACCCGGTTCAGGGCCATGGGCTACATTACATACCCAGTTCAGGGCCATGGGCTACATTATACCCCATTTTTGAGTGTTGGGGAAAAAAGAAATGCTGGGGGCTGTAATTATGCTTCACAGCTCCCAGGCTGAACCTGGACACTGGCGCTTAAATGCAGTGTGAAGGGATGTGACCAGATCCCTGCGATCTGGCCTTTCAGCTTACCTGTGCAGGCGTGGGGAGCAAATGTCCCCACAATGATATATGTTGATGACATTGTGGGGACCATTTGGTCCCCACAAGGGGAAACTTAACTTCATAAAAATCTGTGACTGCAATCAGAAAACTTAAAATGCCAAAAGTCCTGTATTTTGTTTGGTTACTTTTGGTTAAGGTTAGGGCTGGGTAGGGGTTAAGGTCATCATTGTTGGAATTAGGGTTAATGTGTGTGTGTGTGTGTGTGTGTGTGTGTGCTGCTGTACTCACCAGGGGTTCTGTAGGAGTGAAATCCCTGTAACACACAAAAGTAAACGCCAGTGAAACAGCAGAGATGTCACTAACATACATGCAGGAGAATTTTTACATATGACCATGGTGCATTTACATTTTATTTGCCAGATGCTTTTTTTCCCCAAATCAACACACATTTTTGAGAAACAGGGTCAGCCAAGTCCCCGGGGCCATTGGGGGTTAAGGGCCTTGCTCAAGGATCCAACGGTAAAAAGGTTCTGCAGACCTGGGGATCTGAACCAGCAACTGTCTGATCACAGGAACAGGATCCAAACCCAATGAGCCACACACTGTCCCCTGAATACAAGCTTTGAGAAACTGTCAGCACAACTTTTATAATCCAGCAAATTCCTGCTCACTCACGTGGTTCCAGGTTCCTTATCCCTCCTGCCCAGTCCTGGGATCCGGAAGGACTTCCCGCGCGTCTTCTTAGCCCCTTCGGGCGCCGTGCCGGGAACGTGCTCCTCGAACCTGGCCGAGGCTGGAGCGCATGGGAAGACGAGACGCAGTGAGACACACGAGGCAAACCAGCACCAGCGCATTGGACAGCGGCGCATGCAGAGTTAACGGCTCTCAGCCGGTCTCGGAAAACGCCGGAACACATTTGCATAAATTTGCATTGACACCTATTCTGAGTGTACAGCTGACTCAATGGACTCATTTCAGGAAGAAAATCAAAAATGGCCCCATTTACATTTCCAACCCCATAAGAGTCCAGCAAGAAACAGAAAGGCTGCAGAGAGAACCTCCGTATTTACCGCAACTGGTTTAATTTCATCACCAAGCTTAACAGGACTAAAAAAAGGAAATATGTAAAACATCCTTCCATTTTCTATAACCACTTATCCAGTAGGAGACTGAGTTATCCATCTCAGCAGGCAGGGGACAGAGGGCAGGGGACAGAGGGCAGGGGACACGCTGGATGGGGACCAGCCCAGCATACATGGCACATTCACACATGATCACACGCCAGGAGAAATTTAGAAAATGCCTTTGTACCGTCAGAGAAAAGCCTGCAGAGAACACAGGGAGAACATGCCTACAGAGATCCCTGGGTTTAGCCGGAAGACGGCAAGGCAGGTGGCATGGTCACGGCCAAACCGGCAAGGTCTGGGGTCAAGTCTCACTTCTGCTCTGAGTGCCGAGTCGGCACATGATCCCAGTGTCACACACCTGTCCTTCCGCAGTCCAAATCCTCCCAGTTAGGCTAACCAACGGCATCTCTGAACCCCTATATCTTGTGATTGTGTGCGTGTACCTTCGTGTGCTCACAATCAACCGCCAACCCCCCCCTCAAACACCCAGGGTGCACCCCTGCTCTGACCCCTGAGATTCCCAGCAGAGGCTCCAAACCCCCCCATAACAACCACACCTGTCCATCTACAGACCACACCTGTCCATCTACAGACCACACCTGTCCATCTACAGACCACACCTGTCCATCTACAGACCCACATGGATGCAGGCGGCACCGTTTGGGGTGGAACCGGCCGGTGGACGTACTCGGTCTGTCTTTGCCAGTGCCCTTCTGCTCAGCGAACCGCTGCAGCAGCTTCTCAGTGCCGATGTTCTCCACGTTCTGCTTGAACTCCTCGTACACCTGGGCAGGGGCCAGCAGAGCATTAAAACATATGGCGCCCTGTGCAATAATCTTAACCAGTCAAAGAGTGTAATGCATGCAGATTAAGAGCATCAACAAACACTAACAAGAATTTCTTCTGTTCTCCAAAAGGTTAACAATATCATGTTGGATGTCTGCAAGAGCACCACCCACACGGCTTCCCTGGGTCACCACCAGCTCAAGTAGTGAATTAATTAAATTAGTTTAATAACTCAATGAGGTTTTGATTAGCCCATCAATGTGTGCTAGTGGTCAGGTAAAAAAATGCATGGATGTTTTGGACGGTTGCAGGAAATACTGGGGTGACTTCAGGAGAGGTTTTGAAACGGCTAAGCTGACATTTTCACAAACATAAAATCACAGTTTTATACCGACATCAAGATAATTTAAGGATCATGTTTGACTACCTAAGACTTCGGCACAGTACTGTACATCTGAAAGAACATCTAAATGTTTTTTTTTCTCAAATATCAAACAGAGTCTTCTAAATAGTCACACAGATTAAATTTTGAAGACCACAAAAATTCATCAGCTTCATAAACTTTGCTAGAATCTCCCAACCTAATATTAATTCTTTATATAGGTAACCCTGCGTGTTTGTCCAGCAGGGGAGAGACAGGATGAGGAGGGAGTGAAGAGAAAGGAGCAAACGCTCAGTCTGCTTGGTGTTAAACAGGAGGGCCTGCTCACCTGTCCCACCTGCACGTGCGTGTCCTCCACGGAGTGGACGTAGGACATGATGAGCTGCTTCATCTGCCGCAGATGGGCCTCCTCTATGTCCTGGAACTTCTGCTCAGACCAAGAGCACAGTACACAAATCGATTTACTAGCGTGAGGGAGGTAGAGGAGGTGAGGGAGGTGAAAGAGGCACTAGGAGGTATGGGATTGAGGGAGGTGCCAAGAAGTGAGGAAGGTGCCGGGAGGTGCAGGAGGCAAGGGATTGAGGGAGTCACCGGGAGGTGAGGGGGGCATCAGGAGGCCCAGAGTGGCATAGAGACGCTTGGCACCACTTCTGCAGACAGCCAGCGGGTTTGATTGTTTGTATGGTGTGGCAGGTGCCTCATTTCAGTGGAGGCAGCAGGTGCCTCATGTCAGTGGAGGCAGCAGGTGCCTCATGTCAGTGGAGGCAGCAGGTGCCTCATTTCAGTGCAGGTACAAGGCTTCCGTCAGTCACCAGTTTGGTTCTTGGTGCGTTTTGGTTTGAAACTAACTACAGATGGTTTTAGATCTGTTTTACTGTTGTATTGTCCTTTGCTTAAAAGGAGGATCGCTGTTCCCTCCACACTCTGTCTTAGACTTAGAGACAAAAAAGTCTGTGTACACATAAGGGAACTCACAACTTAAGTGCAACTCGAGGGGTTGTGCCTGCCTCAGCGGGCTCACCCTCTGCAGTGTGCCTGCCTCAGCGGGCTCTCCCTCTGCAGTGTGCCTGCCTCAGCGGGCTCTCCCTCTGCAGTGTGCCTGCCTCA